AAGTGTGCAACGTCACCAAAACATCCTCATGAAACGTTAAGCACAAATCACGACCACCCAAGGGATCCAGGCACAAAAGACATGCTAAGAGTTGAAAAGAAACTTAATTTCATAAAAGAACACAAAGTCCGTCTCTGCCATGAGCTCTGCTGGCTACAGATCCACTGCTGTTTCTGCCTAACAAACCATCAACGTGGGATATGAGATTAACTGAACTACATCAATCTAGGCATACCCAGCAGAGCTAGATCTTCCATCTCATAACACCATCCCAAGCCGATAACCCAGATGGGGGCCAAAAAGAAAGGAAAGAATTTTTCAAACGAAAAATGAAGATCAGATCCACAAATTGACCTGATGGACAGCTGATGCTGCAACTGTAAATGAGTTATTGGCAGACGTTATGTACTGTGAAGACGGTGAGAACTACCATCAAATTGGCTCTTCAACCAGCTCTTGGGCACAGGCACGGGTTCCCCCTAAAAAATGAAGAGTGATATGATCATTAGAAAAGAATACTGCCCAAGAATTTGCAATCAAACATATCAGACTACTGCTAAAGGGTTTAGCATGCCAATTCACAAAAAATACTCGCCAAAACATTGAAAAGGATACATCATCAGAGATAACTTAATGAAGTTAGGAAGAAAGATGCTCATTCACATCTCTCTTCTCCTATTAAAGGTTTTCCAGCAATATATGATCGCAGTCATCAATCTTAAGTAGCCAAGGAACCATGCAAACTACTAGCTGTACTATTATATCAGCACCTAACTCATAAGACTTTAGCGATTATTCTAAATCTCCCCTTGCTGCAGAAATTCAAGATTGCCTCACATAAAAATCTAGCAACCACTCATCAACACATAGTATAACAACAAACAAAGCCTTATCCCACTAGGTGAGGTCGGCTATATAGATCACATGACACCATTGAGCTTTATCCAAAACCAAATCTTTGGATATACTGTTAATTGAAAAATGAGCTCAATGACTTCATTAAGTGTTGTCTTTGGCCTTCTTCTATTCTTTTTTAGAAGAGTCCATACTGTTTGGTCAACTCTTCTTACCGGCACATCCAAAGACCCTCCTTGCACGTGACCAAACTATCTCAAATGGATTTCTACCATTTTCTCATAGCATAACAATTATTAGGAATTTTAATACTGACATGATATACGTTAAGGATTCCAGTAGGACTAACTGATTTTTCATAGCCCTGAACTATATCACCCAAACCAAAAACAGGCAGTTGGTCCGTCACCCCACACAGCAAATCATGCATCTCTCAAGTGCTCTCTCTCTCTCTCTCTCACACACACACACAACAAACAAATTCAATCTAGAATGAAAGAGTTAACAGGCTTCACCTTTGCTTTTATTTTCTGTAGAAGAATTGACCTTAGGCACTGTCTGTCCAGCTCCACAACCAGGAATATCCTTAAGCCCTATATTATGGCTTGCTAGGCACTGGAGACTCTCAAATTCACAACCATTAAACCCTTGCCCATTTAGCTGCGGGCCTTCAGTAGTCTCTCCTTCTGCTCCAGGACGGAGGCAATAGGCCAAATCATTACACTGCATGTTACAAGGATTCAACACATAAGAACCAGACAAGCTTGGATTTGGTGGATTTGAATTAGCTGATTTCTGATATGGAAATGAACCAATCTCCCCTTCAATTCTCCCCGATATCCACAAGCGCAAGCACTTTAGCCTTGCAATTTCAGCCTCTAAAGCAGCCTGGCCTTGCAACTTCTTCATCAAATGCTGATTCAAGGCCCTCAACTTCACAGCCTCATCCTCCAGTGACGCAGCACGGGCTTTCTTTTTCTCACGATATTTACGAACTGCTCACGATTACCAACAGGACGTTTTTTTTGATTTCTTTTCCACTGACTCTGCGGTGTCATCAGTCCCAGCCTTGTCTTCAGCAGGGGCGGGGACAATTTGGTGTGCACATGATAACAAGTGTGGGTATGTGAAAAATCGGGGCCGGGGGGATTGCAAGTGTGGGTGTGAGTGCAAGCATGTTCCTTGAGAAGTTCTTCGAAGAAACTATCCATTGAGCAACTGCTAGGAAGTTCGCCCACGATGGGGCTCGAGAACACTTCACCGTCGTCCATCGAGCGACAGGAAATTCCAAATAAACGCAGAGTTGGTGCTGATTAGGGGGGAAAAAGGGAGATATTAACAACAAACATGATCGATCGAAGACCTTCGAATTCGATTCCTTCATAAAATCAATAGCATTCAACTGATGAAAAAGGGGAGCTTCATGAAAGATACAAATTAGCAAAAAAGAAAAAAGAAATAAAGAAATTGATAACGCATCGTAAAATGTTTATATAACAATTAAATTAAACGTCAAGAAGAACTTTGTAGACGTGTCAAAATAACGCCATAAGCATTCAACATTTTGGACGCTACCCGGATTAAATTCCACAGCGGCCACAACCAACGTATTCAATAAGCAACAATCAAGTAAGAAATGAAATATTTGCTCAGTGCGAGTTGTAGGAAGAGAACACAAAAAACGGCACAATTAATACAAGAAGCAACTTAATTGATTCGAATATGTCCCAAACCGAAGAAACAGGCATCGTGAAAACCCTACGAAGATGAGCAGGTTACGAGGAGGCACGAGACGAAGGGGAAGTGGGTAGTGGAACCGTGAACCCTAAATTAAAAAGCAGCATCGCAGAAAGCAAAAATAGACGCACCAAAGCAAGGGGCTGGATTAAGAGACTCCACACGATTGCTTCCAAAAGTCACAAACTCACAATTGAGAGTCACTGGCTCAGCAAATATATAGGTACTCAGAGAAGCTGCTTGGATGTTCCAGTCATGGCCAATCAAAATTGTGCATCACTATGAATATCGATATGAGGATCATCGTCAGTATTTCTATAGAAGTTGCCGGGAAAAAAACAATTGTACGCGTCTAAATTTACCATCTCTTGCCTCACTGCCTCAGGTGGCAAATCATTTATTCATTTGGTTTAAAAACAATCATTCGTTTATAAGTTTTAAATTTCAAAAAAAAAAACATGATTTATTTTATAATTTTAATTTGGATTTGTCTTAACATTTAATATATTTTTTAATGTTTTTTAATTATTTTTCTCTTGTCACATTGTTTCACATATTCTCTTTCATTTTTTTATTTATTATAAAGGTATATTTGAAAATAAAAATATATTTTTAACATATTTATTATTTATAATTAATTTTAATTTATTATTTATTATTTATAAATTAATTATTTAAATTTTATAATAAAAACAAAAGGGAGTATTTCTTTTATCCTTGGAATTCATCGCTCCATCCATAGTGGAAGAACATTTAGTTTTAGTTTTAAAAATAGAGTGACAATGGGGTAATAGTAATACCACTCACGATTGATCCTGCGCCAAATCATATTCGGACGGTGAATTTGATCCTCTTGCTCAACATTTAGGTCCTGATAAGAAGCTTTAAAAATAAAAAAGTAAAGATTGGGGTTGAAATTGAAAAGAAATATTTAATGAGTACTTTTTTATTACATGAAAATAGTTAATCTTATGAAGATGGGTACCACCTTCTCTAATATCCTACGGTCCTTAATATAAGACTCATTTAACTAATTTGATTAGATTAAAGAAGTTAGGTAAGTTAATTAATTACAAGAAAAGTGACACATTTTTCCTAAAACACCATAATCATTTTTCTTAATACCTCTTTCCCTCTTCTACTTGATTATGATTGAGGGAGTATCCATAGGGGTAATTTAGAGAAAATTGATAAATATGAGAAATAATTTTTATATTTAGGATCAAAACCAACTTAAAAATTGGGTCTTATATTAAGGACCGGAGGAGTAGTATTTTTGAATCCCATATATACGAATTTATTTAATTCCAAACAATCAATGATATTAAATTTTCAATCCAATTTTTACCCATCATTTTCAGGACTTGCTGCAAAACCCATCTTTTTTTCTTTTTTTTTAGCTGAGCTGCAAAACCCATCTTAGATTTCAACAATTTCAATGCTCTGGATACCCTCTTTTATCCGTAGGATTTAAAATCATGGCGTTATTATTGGAGGAGAAAGCCATGTGTCGACGAAAAGAAGTAGCGGATAATTTGAGAAAGACGCTAATAAAAGTCGCAAATGGCTGCTTTGCTTTTGTCCCCTAATAAATAGCTGGAAATGAAATGATTATATTCAACACGTCTTAGTTGAATAAAAATAATGCAAGAATAGAGATAAAAAATCGGACGAGTATAATAATTATGATAAAAGAAAATAAAGTACTTAATAATGTTTTTCATAATTAGGATTTTAATATATTAAGTATAAATATTAAAAGAAGAATTGCAATTAGGTCTCACCAAAGAGAATTAAATACAAAAAAATCCTTTAAAATCATAAAATTATTTTAAAGTTTCAAGAAACTTTTTTACAATAAATTTTATTTGTTTAATTACTAAATCACCCTTTTTTTTAAATTTGTATTAACAATTAAAAGAGTAGTAGTTGACAACTTAAAAACTAAAGTACAAAGATTAACAACTATCACAACTGATTTAACAACACATTTTCTTAACATATCACAAAATGTAACACATAAGTTATCAAACTAACCGTAATAGTTATTAATCATTATATTTTAAATTGTCAACCACTGTTTTTTTAGTTATCAATATAAATTTTTTAAAATAATTTAATAATTAAACAAATAAAATTTATTACAAAAAAATCTCTTAGAACTTTAAAATAATTTTATGATTTCAAAAAACCTTTTTATATTTAATTCCCTTAGGTAAAACCTAATTACAATTCTCTCAATATTAAACTGCTTGTTAATTGTTTGAATTGGAAAAAAAAAAATTTAACTTTTGTATAAAAGCAATACGTTGCCTCATTGGATCATTTTACAATGCTTTCGCAAACTTCAACCAAACATTTCGATATTTGAGAGATAAGTGCAATTCTAATCAAATAATATTCCTGTTGAGCATTTCGGGGCTGTATAAGGAGTGTTTTTGTCAAACAAAAATTACTCCCAAAAAGGATGCACATACCACCACCAACGACACTTGGTAACCAGTCCCCATTTGTCCAGTTGTGGTAATCAGCATTCCCCGGACAAAGGAATAAAATTGAATTCATCTGAACCAAACATGACAATCCCAAAATTTGAACCCCGCCCTCGCATTTAGCATATTTGCAGCAATGACAGCCCTTCCCGACGTGTTGAGCTTCTATGTCCACTGATCTGCGCTATTACACCATCACTTACCAGTTACCATCCTGCAGAAGTCTTCGTTTTCTAATCAGAAAGTAAATTTTCTTCAATACTATAAATCTCAGCAACAGAATCAGCTGGATTGTGCTCAGACCAGAAGTCTCAGATGTCCTCATCTGAACTAACAAGGTCTAATTCGATCATCTTTCCACTACCCCTTGTGGTTTTATCAGCCGATGCTTGCCCTTCGGCTTTTATTCTTTTGGCACCTAAGTGTCCGTATGTTGTTGCAGGGGATCCCTCGTTTAATGACGACGCTTTCCTGAAGCGACAGATAAGATACTAGTTAGACTAGCATACTTCCACAGACCATGTATACTAGTACTACTTACTATATCAGACAAATGAGATCGACTTAAATCTTATTCGCAACTTGCCTCTTATCAATGCACTTGCTTTGCTCATTTGGCATCATTTGTTTTCTCTTCACTGCCTTAGAGTCAGGCTTGCCTGCAATCGGAAGTAAAAAGTAGCTCAGAACACGATTGCATGGGGCTATCATAAAAGCACAAGACCGTGTAATAATGACCTGTGACCTCTGAAAGAAATCTGATCCCTTGCGAATGCATATTTGTTGTCACTTTGTCAGCATTGCTGGTATAGAGATGAAAATTAATTCATGGCATCGAAAGTCAAAAGCAGTGAAAATCAAAGCCTACGGGCTACCAGCAAATATTGCAAAACAGGTAATTAGTTGCACTAAGTATAACAAACCTCAATGCCTTTTTAAGAGCATCCACTGACAACAACTTTAGTGGCTGAGATTTCGTTGGGTTTGTTTTGCCAATAACAGGATCAACTAAGTAGATTCCTTCTGACTTGAGATAATCCCTAGGCCTAAATGCTGTTTTTAAGTTCCTGTTAATAAAAACACATTTGTACACATAATTAAGGGAAATCAATCGAGCAACTTTTGAGTATTTCACAAACAAAAAGATGATGAGAATAGCAAACACTCATCACTATTCACTCACCCTCCCTTGAGTTCAGTTCTCATTGTGGAGTACTCTTTTGATGATTTCTACAAGATAGCAGCAGATAGGAGGCAGTTAAGTAAATGCATAACCTTTTTGCGAATAATATTGTCAAGAAACATTGAAGGACTCGATACTGCTTACCGATTTATGATATTTACAATATATCCCTTGACGTCTGAAATGGCAAAGAAGATCAGCGTCAAACAAAGCCAAAGAGATGACACGAGTAAACGTGAGCCAAAAAACCTTGATCTGCTTTTTTCTGTTTCTTTTTTTTTTTGGGGGGGGGGGGTGGTTTTACTGTTAGAGGGGCAACTGAAGTCAACGACATTTAGATATGCTATTAACACTTGCTACGTCATTCCTTGCTTTCCTGAAAAAATAAAAATAAAAAAAACTCGGCCTCCCCTCGAAGATTAGGGCTAGATCAGCGCCAAATTTCTTTTAGCATACGATACAGGTTTGTTAGACTAGTTTTATAGGTAACTTATTTCTTTTCTGCGTAACCAAGATTTCTTTGTTAAAATTGAGCATATTCTAAAAGGTTGACAGGCATGAAAGTAAATCTAAGGTATGTGGCGTATCTCCTTAGTTCTAAGCGTCCAAATTTCCCTGACAAAATCAAAGAACATTGTATCCATTGCATCAACCGAAGTACTGATTTGCTTACATATTTACAACCAACGTACAAGGCATCCCGTCGTTTCGTTTTCCCTTGCAAACTCCGTAATCAATAGAAGTTCCTATCTTCAAAATTTGACTTGGGGAATATACACTCAATGAAAAACCATTACCCTGCAAAAAACAAATGAAATGTCCAAATACGGTTGGCAAACCAGTATAAAGGGTACTTCACTGATTCATTATAATTTAATACCATAGCATCCTTGCGTACTGAACAGTTAAACAATGCAAAGAGCGTCCCTGCATGTTCTTGCGAGTTCCTCTTATAAGCATCACCGAACAAGAAAAGAGAAATATTACTTTCATCCAAACTCCCAATTTTCCATATACAGAAACTCTTCCCTGTCGAACTTGTCTTGGGACTTCCTTTCTCTGTCAGTACTCCAACCGTCGCCCAACATCCAGAAATAGTATCTCCTATCATCAAATTCCTGAATCCGAATCATTATAGTTTGAGGCCGACGCGAAGAATATTGCATGCCAAAAGTACATTAACAGGTTATAGAGCAACCCCAGTTTTATCTTCAAGATCACTTTCATAGTAGGACACAAAATAAAGAAGATTACTTGATTACTGGTAGCCGAACAAAACGAATGTCTGAAAAGCGTTCCCTGAGCTCTGCAGAGGTTACCGATTGGTTCCTGTATGTGAAAAAAATTAGCAGCCCATATTATGTTCTCTTGCCATCATTGCTTAGAATGCCTAAATCATTGAAAAACAAGATAGAATCTATTATGAAGCTACAGTCACAGGCGCTGCCTGATAGATCTAGAACCTAAGAGCATGCTGTATATCATATATTTGATGTATACGATTTGGGTAAACAGCTAAAATCCAACATCGATTGACCTTATTCGCAGACCAGAAAATTTCTCGACCTCGATATGATCTGATTTCTTGTTCACCGGCCTATTCAACTTCTCAGGTTTTTTATATGCTTTGGTTTCGTCTTCAAGACAATCCTGAACAGCATTTCTAAATACCGACATATCAACCGTCTCCCTTTGCGTGGGCGAGCCATCGTCGGATAAGTAACCTGCCATTTGAGATATACATGAGGACCCACAACTCGAAAATTGGAATCCAAGTTTTTTTTTTTTAGCGCGGATGAATAGTTCCTCAAGTGAATGTAAAAAATGAGGATTCGACGGCGTACCCGGTGAATGGAGTGAGGGAGAAGTCGGAGGAGTTTCCAAAACCCTGTCTTGAAGGGAGAGGAGGAGATCGAGATCGAGGTCGTCTTGGTGTTTCGTCATGGTTCCCGAAAATCGAAATACAGAGGGCTCTTGGGGAAGAAAAGGGCTTCTCAGTGCCAATGGCATAGCTGTGTGAATTTAGGAACTCATCGTCAATTCGAACTTCAAGAAAATGGCGGGAGGCATGAAAGTTTTGGAGGGAACAAATTTGTATATCCGTGTACGCATGTCTGTATTTGGCGTTATACCAATTACTGATTTTAAAAAGTACTCATCCGATCCTAATTATAAGACCCAATTGACTTATTTGAGGAGATTAAGAAAGTAAGTTAAGTTAGTTATTTATAATAAATAAGTGTTGTCATTCCTAAAATATCCTTGCTAATTAAGTATATTGGCTAAAACTATCATTATTAGGAGGATTATCTTGGAAAAAAATGCATAAATATAAGAGATAAAATGGATTGGGGTCTTATAATTAGGACCAAATAAAAAGTCAAATTGGGTCTTATAATAAGGACCGGAGGAGTATTTTTTTATAAAACGAAACAATATCTTTCACATATTTATTTTATATATCGTAAAAATATTTTTAAAATTATAGTTTTTTTTTCACCCAAACATTTCTTTAATGTATACACTGCCTCTGTTTTGACACGTAAACTTCAACTCTGAAAAACAATCTTGCATAATTTATAAACTTCATTTTGATTTTATTTGAATATTTAAAAAAAATTTAGTTTTATCTTTAATTGATTGTATTTAGTGTTTTATTTTTTCCAATAACCATGCCATGAATAGCATTAATTAGAAAGATGGCTAGCTTGATTTCTTGGTCTAGGATATGTCATCTCATATATTTTCTTTCATTATTTATTGTCTATCTCAATTACTCTTATAATAAATAAGGGCAAATTTTTAAAAAAAATATTTTTATTTATTTATTGTCTTTAACTAATTTTAATTTTTTATTCATTAAACGTAATTTGATTATTTAAAACTTATATATAAGACTAGAAGGAGTATGTATTATATGTGCTCGTGTATATTGATTTCCAACAAATCAAACTATTCATATTTTTTAAAAGTATAATTAATTTCTTAAACATTAAAAAATTAACTGGTCATGATCTTTAAGGAAAATAACTTTAAAATACTTATTAAATTTAAAAAAATCAAATAGGTCATACAAATAAGTGAAAGAACCAAATGAGTATGAAGCGTAAAACTGTAATTTATAGAATTTCATGAAAAGACTAAAATATCATTGGAGTTACATGAACAGCATAAAAAGATTTTGCCTTTCAGTGTTATTATAATCAAACGAGACTTTGACAGCATTTGCAAGTGATTGACAACTTTTGAATTGAATTTGACCAATTTCGTAACACATTTTGCAATATGTTATCATCCATTTACAGACTTGGTGAAACTTGGGGATTGAGTATAATAAAATTACTAAATATGTAATATGATTAACAACTTACGGAATGTAATTGACTATTTTCACAGCGTAATCTATTATTGGCTATTTTTGAATAATCCATTAATAACATGATTAATAACTTACTAAATGAATTTGACCATCTTTATAATGTGTTTTGTAACTTGTTGTCAGTTACTTCTAAATAATTTTACTAAACATGTAACATAATTAACAACTTGCAAAATAAATTTGACTATTTGCATAACACGCTTTGTAACTTGTTGATAGTTATTTCTAAACATATTTACTAAACATGTAATGTCATTAGCAACTTGCAAAATAAATTTAACCATTTGCATAACACGCTTTGCAACTTACTAATAGTTATTTCTAGACATATTTACTAAACATGTAATGTGCTTAATAGCTTGCAAAATGAAATTGACTATTTCTATAACGCGTTTTGCAACTTGTTGTTAACTATTTTCAAACAATTTTACTAAACATATAATGTGATTGATAGCTTGCAGAATATATTTAACAATTTTCATAATGCATTTTGCAGCATATTATTAGTCATTTCCACACATTGGGCAATTTGGGAGGTTGAGTTAGACAAATTGACTAGACATATAAAATGATTAACAACCATAAAAATGCATTTGATCATTTCCATACTATTGATTTGGTCAACTTCTACCAAGTATAACCTCTTGAAAGAATTAAAAAAGGGTAAATGTTTTGAGAAATTAGTACATGGTTGACAAATACACTAGAAGTATATCATAATAAATGTATTAACAGTAACTTTCATGATTTACTACACTTGTAATGGAATTGACCACTAAAGTAATAATATTTATAAAAAAATCAATAATTTTATGACAGCAACTACATTGTATATATTCAAATGTCAAATTAACATTAAGATTAAACTTGCATTTAGTATTTTCTTGTTATTAAAGTCATAAAACATATCGCATTCGCTACCCATCATCCACAAAAGGGCAAAAAATCACAGGATTCTATGGATGACATTTAGTTGCTTATGAGCTATAAACTTAGCCTTCATTCTTCGTGCCAAAACACCCAAAGCCACAATCATCATTAGTCACAATAGCAGTACAGCAATCGGTAGAGGGGAGAAGGGGAAATAAGAGGCCCAAGGCATAAATGTGTTTTTCGAGCAGCATGAGGAAGCCTGAGAAATAAAAAAAAAATTTATTGCATGACTGAAGAATGACAACACAAGGAACACTAGGGTAATCAAAATAGGGAACACGAATAACAGATAAACCAGAGTTAGAAGTTCTACGAGGGGCAATTTGAAAGTGAGGAGAGGACTTGTAATTGTTATCGAGGAGAACAACACTGAAGGGAGAGAGGAGCTCTTTCTCATTCTACAACTTAGGGAGTGTTTGGATAAAAACCAAACCATGATTTCAGAAGTGCTTTTACGGATTACGAAGTAAATATGTGGAGGAGGTTACCTCGTTTTGTGGAAAAGTGCTTCTGAAACTACGGATTTGGAGCATCCAAACAGAGCCTTAAGGGAGAGAAGAAGAGGAAAATGGAATTATGAAATGAGAGAAAAGGCATGAAAATAATTTATCAAAATTTACAAATTCCAATTTAAACTTACAGACTTATTTGTCTTTTGTCAAACTAGAATCACTAACTTAAAATTTAAGAATTCAAATGGTATTTATATGGGATTTTTTCTCATTTTTATGCATTGATTTAAGTAATAACAAATTAAATTCTATAATATTTCTCTAAACTTTGAAGCAGATGACGAGGAAAAAAATATCAACAAAAAATTGTCCTAAATTATAAACTTTGATCATGAAGTCTTAGAACTTGGACACTTTTATGCAGAGTTTTTCAATTAAATCAATGCATTATTTACGTGCGCGTAACTTTCTAAATTTTAGATTAATACGCAAGTAAATGAAATAATCTCCGTAAATATCATATTATTGCTTAATCTTTATCTATTGGCGTTTTGCGTTCGGTTGGAAACCTCTCTTCTTCCTTTCTTATCCTCTGTTCTCTTTTTATTCTTCTAACTATTAGATTAACATATTTTAAATGTTAAGATTTTAATTTTTTTATGAACTATTTATAAAATTTTTTAAAAATATTCAGTGCATTAACAAACCATTAGAATTATATTTTAATATAGTTTGTAATTTTATTTATTTATTTTTATAATTTAACATTTTAATAATATTAAAAAAATTTAAATATAAACTGTTAAAATATTAGTCTAATAGTTAAAAAAAGACGAAAAGACGAGAAGATGGGAAGGAAAAAATGGAAGTTTCAAAGTGTTTTGCATGAATAAATATAGGCCTTGACACATGCTATCAGTGAACACAAAAATATATTTCTAACTTATTTATTACTTTCAACTAATTCTAACTGATTTTTTGTTGTCTACAAATTAGTTATTTGAGATTTATAATAATAACCAAATGAGATAATAAATTTCTTAACTTTTTCTGTTTTCATGTTTTAAAAGCTACAAGTCATAAGTTATTAATTTTAACTTATGGCTTATTGTAGCTTTTTATACAAAAATCACATTGCCTAATTGCCCATCCAAATAGTATCCAAATTTCCAATCAGGTTTGTGCCTAATTTAAACTACTTTTCACCCCTGAAAAGCACAACCAAACAGGTACACAATGTTCATGACTCCTTTTTTGTTTTCCTTTTCTGGGCCAGAGAGCAATACTGTGGTTTGTTTGCCAAATCTTATCATAACATATCACTTTACCTAGTAAAATCCTCTCAAAGCACAACATTAATTGGAGAAACAGAAAAGAATTAAATTAAGCACACTTGACTCGATTCTCATTTTCCAGTCTCTCTTGTCCGATTCTCGCGCAAACATTACTCCTCCACAGACAAGGTTCGTTGTCTGCTTCACTTTAAAATAGAAATAGCCACGGAACAAATATTCTGAAAAAGGAAAATGCGATATTTCCTCTAAGCCCATAGTTTTATCAACCTTAACTCTATTTTTGTCCCTCCGATGCAATTCTCTTGCCACCTTTATGAGTGTCTCCAGGATATTCGACAGACAGACTGCCAGCCAGCTTGATTATTTGCTTATTAATTGTTTGAAGCAAGAACTCCTTTTATTTTCTGACGACTTATGAAAGAAGAGAAATAACTCAGGCTCTTTTTTGGAGCAAAGGAGTGTAGAAAGATACATATATAGATATCACAGAGAGATAGGTATATACATGTGTGTTGTGAATGGCGTCTACAGGCGGAATAACCCTTTTAGCTGCCTTGCTTGCCATCATTGTTTCACTGTCGCATGCTGATGCTGGAGAAAAGATTACAGTAACTTATGATGGAAGGTCATTGTTGTTCAATGGAAAGCGAGAGCTTTTGTACTCGGGTGGCATCCATTACCCCCGAAGCCCACCCGAGGTTTGATTAATTCTTCTCTTAATTCACTTCCTTTCTTGATGCCTTTTGTTTCCTAGAGCCAAATAAGCGATAATGCGAAATAAATTCATGGTTTGTTCAGATGTGGCCAGACATTCTTGATAAGGCAAGACACGGCGGTTTGAATGTGATCGAAACTTACATCTTTTGGAACGCTCATGAGCCCGTGAGAGGC